GAAACAGAAAACTAAAACATGAAGAAAGTGGGGAAACACAGCAGTCTACATTTTGAAAGTGTAAACACTAAGAATGAAGAAATACAGTTGAGGCTGGTTCAAGCAGTAATGAGATTAAACTAAGCATAAGGAAATTTCGGTTGATAATCATGAAAGAAATCTTTATGAACTGAGTAATACTAGTATTCGTAATACTTAATATTTATATAGTACTTCACATCTTCAAAGAGCTTCACTAATATTAACTAATTGCTCTATTCAATTGTAGGGAAGAGTCTTCCCTCAAGGGAAGAAGTTCCAGATCCTGAATCCCTAAGAAGCCACATTAGAAAATCTACTGAAAAACAAACACTATGCAGAAAAATCAGCCCCTGGAAAAGTACAGATTCTATGTGCTAAAATAATTTTCCTTCTCTGGCTTTTTCTTTTACATATGGAAAGGAAAGCTATGCATGCTATACAATATTATGCAGATGCTGTGTCCCCCAAAGAGATACAAAGGGAAAAATAGTTCTTTCTTTGCTTCAATGCAGAGATATTTCAGGAAAAGCGTGAAGAGGAAGGCTTTAAACAGAAATGTAAAGAAGTAAAGTGCCCAATGTTGCAGAATGCAATGGATAGAATCTAGTTTAGTTTCTAAGCCCAAAAGCAAAATTTTCCAGGGCAGAAAGGAAAAGAAGCACACACTGTACTCCAGTGCTTTTTAACTAGACAAGTTGTTAGATTTTAGTACAAATTGACATAGCTGCTGGTGACACCAATAAAAACAATTTACTGCTGAAAAGATCTAAGACTTGAGGATTGCTTTGTCTGCTTAAAGTTTTGCTGGTAAAACTAAAAAAGTTTGGTTACAAGACACAAACACCTGCTAAAGCACAGGAATAAAAATTAAGGAGCAAACAGAAATAGGAGACAAAAAGCAGCAATGAAAGAATAAAAGCTGATTGCCTAAGCTGATCCAGTAAGCTTCTAGCTTGAAAAGAGAGCAGAAATGTTCCTTTCACTCCACGAGGGAATGAGACCAGGTTAACAATGCTCTTCTCCCCCATTACTACACATCTGCAAAGAGAAAAGAAAAGTGAGTTTATTAGGAAATCACCCTTTCCAAACTCAGGGCACTCACAGTAAGTGAGCAGTCCTGTGGGCGGTAAAGCCATCCACCATCGCAGCGTGGGAATGGTTTCCTGATCAACTATTTTACCTTCTCAACAAAAAAAGACAAAAAGCAATCTAAGACAAAGGTAGTTGAACAAGACAACACTAAAATCTGGTACAACTGCCTAAGTTGCCATGGAGGGGCACTAGCATGAGTTGCACCTTCCCCCAGATAAACCCAGTGTTGCCAGTAGTACAGGAAGTTTGGGTTGGCCAAAAAGCAATTGCATATTTTTCTGGGTAAATGAAAGGTGTATTTTTGATGGGAAATAAAAACTTCATTAAACAATATATTGTCCATTTTCTTCAACTACCTTTTCCCATCTTTCAGGCAACTTCTTGATTTTTTTCCTCAAAAAAGTTCTTATCCTTTTTTTTTGCAAAAAACAATTCCAAGAATAATTTGATATCCTCATCAACAGTGCAGGTTCTACCATTCAAGGTGATTCATAAAGAACAAAACAAATGGCAGCCTGATGGTGCCAGGTCTGGCCAATATGGTGGATGTGGTAACACATCCCATCTCATTTTTGACCAAACTGGTAGGTGGCCTGGTGTTATCATGACGAAACAAAACACCTTTGCGATTCACAGATTCTGGATGCTTCTCTTTGATGGGCTCATTTAATTTATCCAGTTGATGACACTTACAAATCAATGGTTTGGTTCCTTGGAAGCAATTCAAAACACACAATACCTTTAAAATCCCACCAGACTGACAGCATCACCTTCCTTTGGTGAATCTCTGCTTTTGAAGTGCTTAGAGCTGGTTCATCACACTTGCTCCATGATCTTTTTCATTCATCATTGTTGTAGATGATCCATTTGTCATCGCCTGTTATCATACGCTTCAAAAATGGAACATTTTCCTCACATTTCAAGAGAGAATCACAGACGCCAATGCGCTTAGTGAAATGAATTTCTCTGAACTTATGTGGTATCCAAATAATGAGCTTCCTAACGTATTCAAGTTGTTTTAAATGGTTTTCAATGCTCAATTTCAATATGTTAAGATTATCAGCAATCTCTTACGTTGTTAAATACCAACTTGATTCCATCAATGCCTTTATTTTGTTATCAACTTTGATTTGCCTTCCTGAACATGGCGCATCTTTAACATCTTTAACATCAATATCTCCGGATCAAGATTTAGTGAACCAATTCTGATACTGCTGTAGTTTTAAGGCATCTTCACCGTACACATCACAACTTTTTATGAGCTTGCACAGTGCTTTTTCCTTTTTGGAAGTAATACAGCAAAATATGATAAGAATGTTCCTTTAGATTTTCCATTTTCAAATTGACGCCAAATAAATAGTTCTTAACTAAATTGTGCACTTCCTATTTCTAAAACAAGCTTGAACTGTCAGCTGTCAAGTCACATAATTATTTTGGGGTTTAAAAAGAACTTAGTTACATTTCAAGACAAGTATGTCCATCTATTTTTTTTAAAGCATGCAATTACTTTTTGGGCAACCCAATACATAGCGAGCTCAAAGGCCCACATCAGCACCGGCACTGCACTAAGGTGTGCATCCTGAAGGTGTGCATTCCATCCTGAAGAACATACAATTTAAATAGACAAGACAGATCAACACACAAGAAAAATAAACCTCTGTAGCAGTGTGTTAACATCTGACTGTCAAGAAGTTTTCGGTGGGCACATCTCTGCATATGGTACCCAGAACTGCTATTTTCTGAACAAATGGCCACCTGAAGGTATGTGGCTAAATAACATCAAGTTTCTTGCCTCAGGATGTCATCTTGACTTCATTCCCCTTTCCCATGTCGCGTGGCTTAGCCAGAGCTCAGGCAAACACACTGCAGTTGAAGGATCACTTTGTATTTACACAGCAGGTACTGAACACTGGCCAAGACAGACCCCCAGGCTTGCTGCCTCAGCACTCTGACGCAGTAAGGCAAATACCGTACTTTCATCAGTTTCGCCACAGAAAATAGTGTTAGCATCCCTCATTTTATTTTTGTGAGATGCTACATAATTGCTTACTAACAAAAAAGAAAAAATTCTGAAGCAGAAACCCCAGGTCAGCAACAGATGGGAAGATCCAGCAGCTGCAAGGACAAAGGGAGCTAAGTCCAGAGCTAACTAGAATTAAGGAACTTGACATTGTGCCCTGGTGATCCCCAAAGATGGAAAAAAACACTTTGTGAGTATGTGTGTATGCTTGTTAAAGCAGTCCAAACATATAACAGAGGGAAGCCAATTAAAAAGGTACTAAATACAGAAGACTTCAACTTCAGTGATTAGTGCTAGGTAATTTGCCCTGTGATAAACAAGCTATTCAAATCAGTAATAGACCTGAGGTTGTTCCACAGCTTGAAAGCATTTCTCTGAACTTTATCTGGTATCACAGCAAGTGCCAATGTTTAGAAGTTAATTTTTGCCATGCAGCTCTACATCTTCAAAGCCAGCAATGCCAGTACGTGTTTGCAAAAGATACCCACCATCTTCAGACACTACACTGACCACTACGATCACTAAAATCAGCATAGGTGCAATTCAGCTGCTATGTGCAATAGCCAGGTGCAGCTTGTAACATCTCCAAAGTACTACAAAATGAAATGAATGAATGAATGCAGGAGAGGACAGGTTGGATTTTTTTCCCTAAATCTATGGAAAATAAATTACTTTTGGGGGACTATCCCTATCCAAGGAACAAAACCCATCATCCAACTGTGAAAAATCTCAATTTCATCACTACAGTATTGAGAAGGAGGGGGGAGAAGGAAGAGGAAAAGAGAAGAAAAAAATAATGATAGCTGAAAAAAACATAAAAGAAAACCGTCAGTGAAAATTGCCCCTGAAACTTTGCAGAATTGTAACGGCTTTCTCTTGCTTAAATTGATTGGTGTAGCAATGTTATAAAATGACTATTAGGATTCATTGTGCACAACAGAAAGTGTGAAATGTCAGCAGACTATACAGCAAAAGTAATGGGTCCTGAACCCCTGTTAGTCAAAAATGATTTTGTTTCAAATTAGAAATTGATTTTTTTGGACACAAGCCCTTTACAGGCTTCCAACTTTTGTAGCTGTGCCTTGGAAGAGATTAACCTCAGCCACTGTTTGGGTCCAGGCTGATGATACCCTTTTGAAAGTTTCTTCACAGGGACTGCTTTTTAATGTTGGTACGGTCTTAACCAATAACACAAGTTATTTGTTCCTTTGAGAACTGCACCACATTTCTTCTCATTTTGCCATTTTCTTCATTTTTATGCTGACATATACAGCAAACTGGCTGACAAGTTAAAATAAAAAAAAAGGCGCTAGCTCATAATTGAACCAAGGATTATGTTCAAGGCTCAGCAGTGAAACATCCAACCTGCTTTTGTTCCCAACCCTTTCTCTTCCTAAGAAAGACTGCTTCTCCACTCCTTAAGTGGAGGTACTAAGCTAAGAGCAGGACACATTCTAGCGGTACAGACATCCCTGTGTGGCAAAATATCAGGTTGTGATGGCGGAGCCATTACCTGGGGAGGAAAAGAATGTGAAGAAGATTACATTTCAAGAGCAAGTCCCACTGCACTTATTCTCTGCTTGCTGGGAAAGGAAAAAGAATTGTTGAAGTAGCTTTTTGAGATTATAGGGCTATTTTTTCCCTTCCATCAGGAACACCAACCAAGAAGATCACTTGTTATTTACAAGGCTTTCCATGCTTTTTATTACTTTAAACGTAGCTACCTTCTCTTTGGTTGTTCTAAGCAACTTGCAATCCTCTTCCTCTTAATTCTGCATTTTACTGATATGTTCTTGAACACTTACATACAACTTTTAAATGGCACTAGCACACTCATGGCCCTGCAATACAGTATGCTTCCCCTTACCTCTCCTTGACTTGGTGCCTTCTCTCTTGGGTTGATTCAGAAAGGTTTGCACATGTTCCACGTTTGCACCAAAACCAACCATTTTCTTCCCCAAGCTGCTCCCTCCACTGCTCTTTGGTGTTCTCAAGGTTTTGCCCACTGGAGGTGTCCTTGGAAAATATTCTCCATGTTTTGACACCGGTACACTAGGAGGAAAGAAAGACCACAGTATTACATGAGGCATTCAGCCCTTTTGACACTGCACCCAGCCATCTCCTGCACTTGCACTCTCCAGAAGCGTAACCATTGTGCTGCTGGTTGAGCTCTTGTTGAATCCACTTACAATGTCTGAAAGCAGGATGCCTAAAGATTTAAGAGTTACCAATCTACTTTATCAGGAGCCTTCAGTTATCAGCAGGTGGCAGCACTCTGATAATTTCATTTGGAGGTGTGTGGTATTTGGCACATTCCCTTAAGCACAAGGTCCTGGATCTCCTGAGAAGTCAGAACAGGACAAGTGGGATGAAGATACAGTACACTGTCCAGCATAGCGAAGCAAGATTGGATGAAAGAGTAATCTGAAAGATGCTCACTTTGCTAGGACAAAGGGGTAAACAGGGAAGACTATGTGAAAACTGCAGTCATGGTTGGTAAAAGGTAAGCACGATACACTGATTCAAGAAGAAAAAGGATGAAAGAAGATGAGACAAAAAGAGGTGAGATGAACGAATAGAGGTACTTGTAATCAGGATAGCGAACATACGGGCAAACTGGTGGCATAGTATCTGGAGTAGCAAGTGCAGCAGTTTGAGAAAAGAGAAAGCTAACCAGAACCATCGTGGTTCAAGAAGAATTTCAGAACAAGATCGTAAGCACTGCACAGATGGAGCAAGGAGGCAAAGTTGGTGATGTGGAACAAGTCTCTGCAGACACAGGCAATCACAAAACATTTTGGGAAGAGGCTATCTGTGGAGACCCACCTCTCTCAGTAAAGACAACCTACTGCTTTCAAATTCTGCTCTCTGGGAAACAATTACTGCTCTAAATGAAGATTCCCAACGTGTATACATCATTAGCCACATCACCGTTATTAATTAAAACCAAAAAAACCCCTTTGTAATACATGTAATCCCAAGATTACCCAGCTCTATCTGCAATCATAGAAGTCACATACAGTTTTCCTAAGTCAGCAGTAGATTAAACAAATCTTTTTCCTATTTAAGCACCACTTTTACATGGGCAACCCCAACACTGCAACTAAGTTTCTATTATTTGGGATACAGCTTTGTGAAGTCTGATTAACAAGAAACTTCTACCTAAAACCTTATACTACTGAAGTTACTGTACATCTGAGGAAGAAAGCAGGTATCTGATGTTCCCATCAGAAAATGATAGCTAAATTGAAAGTTTCAAATCAATGTGCTGTATAAGCCATCGTTTAATAGGGCCCACTGCGCCTGCTGGACAATTAGTATTACTCCTGTATTATTAATGCAGAACATTATATAAAGGCTTATGACCTGTAATAACTGGCTGAAGTGTTGGATAAAACTTCTCTGAATAACCCCCGTTTACTTCAGGGCTTCAAACTGTGCGGCCACTAATAATATTGCAAAGTATTATTAAAATTTATGGTGGGCTAAATTAGTATCTTATTTGAGTTATATGAAATGATTAACCTACTAATTCCTGCTACCCAGGACACTACAGCAAGAGGTGTGTTTGGGCCCTAATAACTGTTTAAAGAGGTTTAAAGGTGTAATACTTGACCAGATTTCTCTGATAATACAGGACTTGATATTCCATTTGCCTGTACTCAGATGATTAACAGCATTTAAAAACACTGAGGTTGTGATTATTTGGATGCTTTCTGTGTTTTTAAAGTACATTTAATTACAGCCTACAGATCTTCTGTGCAGACAGTGACCTCTGACTTGTAGATGAGAAGGCTCAACTGGTTCACTGCAATACCTTCTGCATGGTGCAGTTACCTCTAGAATAACGAGTTCTGGTTTAAATAATGCTACGGCAGAAGCAATTCAAACAGAAACAGACACCAAGAAGTCACAGAAGCTAATCTACGAGAAAATAACAAAAGCAAGTGTATTTGCATGTATAGCTCACTAAATAATTAATTAGAGCCTGGTTCTTTAGTATTTAATAAAGGAAAATGCATGTTAAAGTTTTACTCAAGTAGGGATAGAATCAAATCTTAAAATGATAAACAATCTGAGAGGTGTGCAGACCATGGAGGGAAAGGGGCAATACAGAGAGATACCGAAATTCAATAGCTAACAAGGTACCAAAATTATCAAAGAAAACAAAAAGAAAAAAAAAAGTCTTTTAGAACACAGTTACTCATTCACCTGTGAAATAATTACTAAAATGAATGATGTGAATATAGCACCCTGAAAAACTTAAAACTAACATATAGTCCAAAGGGATCAGTTATGTACATATACAGAGGTTAAGTCACAAAACAGGTCCTTCTCTAATTCCAAATCCAGCAATCCACTGTACCACTCAGATGCAGCGTGGCTAGCAAGACTTCCTGCAGGACACCACAATATCTGATGAATTTTCATTCCTTTCCCTGAAACTACACAAGAGAAAAGACTGTCTAAATAAAGACCTTATTAACCTACCTAACCTGGATGCTAAGGCAGGAGTCGCAGAGTGGCACTGCCAGAGAAGAAG